ATATTCCACTTGTACAGGATCTTTTCCTGTTTGTGTGGATACAGATTGTCCGACAGACTTGCGTCCGGCATACTTGCGTCGAATCCCGACATCTTGCACGATCAAATTCCGATCGTACGTGTCGAAAACCTTGTACTTGAATAGCTTCGTTTGGAACGTAAAAACTCATATTTCGTCATATCCCATCAAAGAAAAGAACCGTGGACAGGAAGAGACTTATGCAGGAAAGTTCTCCCTGTCAAACTCAACCTGGTAATCGCACAGGCGGTAGAGGCCTTCACCACAATCGTTTTCATGGTGGTCGTGGTCATGGTCGACCAAGCAATGGTTATCAACCATATCCAAGGCCCTCAAGCTCTCCAAGATATTCTCAAGGGACTTCACAAAGTTTTCAACGTGGAGGCAATTCCCAGCAACAGAACCAGGGACAATTTCAACCAAGACCCCCCAACAATGGTGGCAGAGGCCGTGGATTCAATGGCCAGCGCAGTGGACGCTCCCAATCTGGTCGTTTTCAGCCAGGACAAAACTATCAAGGCAGAGGCCAATCACATCAACAAAACAGTCAAAATTTCTGTGCTGAGTCGCACTACAATCAAGAAGCTGAAAGCTTTGCTGCGGAATGCAGCGTTCCAGAATGGAACCAAGACGGAATGTCTTATGGCGGAATGCCAAGTGCCGAGCAGTACCAGCATCAGGAAAAATATTATCAAGCTGAAGAAAATCAGCAATGGAATGATCAATACAACTATGAACAAGAAGAATATTATCCTGAAGAACAGCGGGCGCACAAACAATTTTCCTATGATGAGGATTCACCATTTTCCTTTCATGAAGAGCATTACTGACCCAAAAGTACTCGTAAACTAACAAAGCTTCCTAAGCTTCCTAACCCATTTCTGGAACCTGATTTCAGCACTGGAAAAATTTGATGATGAAGATGGTCCAATGACTAAAGATGAAAAAGAGTTTCTTTTGAATGATTCTTTGCTTCGTATACCTACACCAAAACAAGACGTAAATTCTATGGAGGATTTGATGAGAAAAAAGCGACTTTCATCTACATCTTTGGTGATTTGGAAGACAATTGGAGCAATTGAAAGTGGAAACGTTTTACGAGTATTATTTGATTCAGGGGGATTGCATATGATGATCAATGCAAGGGCGATTCCTAAAGATGCTAAGGTACAAAGTATTCAAAATGCGAAGAAGTGTACAACTGTTGCTGGTGATTTTGTTTCTGACAAATGTGTGAAATTGCAGGACGGAGTCTTTCCCGAATTTGACAAACACCGCAGAATCGCAGGTGTCGACGGTGTCAAGGCGAATGTCTTCGATTCGCCAACGTGTCCACATGACATCATAATCGGATGCAACCTTCTACACGAAATGGGCTTGGATATCCAATTTTCAAACGGACAAGTCAAATGGATAGACAAGTTCATTCCAATGAAGGCTCCAGATCATTGGCAAAATCACACCAACTATTCAATGGTATTGGATTGCGATGTTTTAGATATCTACGATGATGATGATGATGCTGATGATGCCTTTATCATGGATGACAAAATATGAAGCTACTTCAGGTGCTGAAGTTGCTGACAAGCAACAACATCTAACTGAAGATCAGCGCAAACTTTTGGCTCAAGCGTTGAAGAATACAGACAAGATTTTTGATGGTCAACTCGGCCATTACAAGCATGAGAAGGTTCCCTTGGAGCTCATTGAGAATGCGCAACCCGTGTTTTCAAAAGCGTATTCTGTACCGAAGCAACATGAACCTGCATTTCTCAAAGAACTGAAACATCTACAAGAAATAGGAGTTCTTGAACGAACAGGCCCGTCGGAATGGGCATCGCCAACATTCATCATTCCAAAGAAGGACGGTAGGGTGCGATGGATCAGCGATCTCAGACAGCTGAACAAGAATATCAAGCGTAAAGTATACCCCTTACCTTTGATTGATGATATTGTTGCGCGTCGTTCTGGCTACAAGTACTTCACAAAACTTGATCTCACAATGATGTATTATTCTTTTGAATTGGATGAGCCGAGCAAAAAACTTTGCACGATCAACACCCAGTACGGTCTGTACCAATACAACCGCATGGCTATGGGATTGAAACCGGCTCCTGACTTTGCCCAGTACTACATCGAACAAACTCTACGCGACCTAAAACAAAAAGGTGTCGAAATTTATATTGACGATGTTGGCCTGTTCTCCAATTCCTACGAAGAACATATGGCCTTGATCCAAGAAGTATTGCAGCGACTACAAGCTGCTGGTTTCAAAATCAATCCCTTGAAGTGCGAGTGGTGTGTCCAAGAAACTGATTTCTTGGGCCATTGGTTGACTCCTGAAGGCGTCAAACCGTGGAAGAAAAAGATTGATGCCATCCTCAAGATGTCAGCACCTACGAATGTAACAGAATTGCGTGCATTTCTTGGTGCTGTTACCTTTTACCGCCACATGTGGCCGCGTCGATCTCATCTTCTCAAACCCCTTACAGAGCTCACAGGCAAAGGAATGTTTGAATGGACTGATGAATGTGCAAAAGCTTTCGCTGAGATGAAAGCTCTCATGGCTAGCGATATAATGATGCGCTACCCCAATCCAAACAAACCCTTTGAAATCTATACTGATGCGTCTGACTACCAGATGGGCGCTGTCATCATGCAGGAAAGGTAAACCCGTCACCTACTGGAGTCGTAAGCTCAATGCTGCGCAACGCAGTTACTTGGTAATGGAAAAAGAAATGTTGGCTGTTGTACATTGTTTGAAAGAATTTCGGTCTATGATATATGGTACCAAGTTAACTATTTTTACTGATCATAAAAATCTCACCATGCGAACGTTGAACGCACAACGAGTTCTTCATTGGCGTATGTTTGTTGAAGAATTTGGTCCCGATTTTGTCTATTTGCCTGGAAAAGACAACGCGATTGCCGACTGCTTCTCTCGGCTTCCGCGAATGGAGAAGCTGTCTGAAGGGAAGAGTCCAAATAAGGGTAAATTGATTGCGTTTGATAAATTACAGGTTTCTGTTGATCCCGAAGACGAAACCTACACGTTTGAAGATAATGTTCTTGTAAAAGAAAATGATTTGATCACGCCACCAACAGAAGCCGAGTTCAATTTTGATGTCAGTTCTCCTGTTGCCAAGATGGAGATATTCATGAACACCTGACCATTGACAACATTGAAATGGAAGAGTCCTTTTTGAATCATCCTCCTCTACAAACGATGCCAAACCCAATCACAATGCCAAACATTCAACAACATCAAACTCAAGATCAACTGCTCATGCAACGAGCTCAACGCGATGCACAGCACTACCAGATCACGACAATTGACGAGCGCCTCATCATCACCTATCAAATCAATCCTGCACGTCAAGACGATTGGAGAATTTACTTACCTTTGAGTTTGGTTGATGATGTGATCACCTGGTATCACCTTGTGCTTGGACAAAGAGGAAAAACGTCAATGTATGCTACAATTGCAAAGCGGTTCTATTCTCCTGGATTGAAGCAACGAATTGAACGATTCAATTGTGAAATTTGCCGACTCAATAAAGTGGCAAATGTTCAATACGGACAGTTACCTGAACGACACGCGGATTTGGTTCCATGGTTCTCCGTTGTGGTCAATTTGATTGGTCCATGGAAAATTGACGTCAACGGTAGAGAACTTGAATTCAACGCGTTGACTTGTATTGATCCCGTGACAAATCTCACTGAACTTGCTTTTATCAAGAATAAAACTGCAACACACGTAGCAAGCGTGTTTGAAATGCTGTGGTTGTCGCGGTATCCGAGACCATACAAATGTATTCACGATCAAGGAGGCAAATTAATTGGTGAAGCCTTCCAAGCGAAACTCGCTACTTGGGGAATCCATGATGGCGGAACCACTAGCAAGAATGCGACCGCAAATGCGATCTGTGAAAGAATGCATTTGACAGTGGCAAACATTTTGCGCACCAGATACAATAATGCCGCTCCAAACTTTCAAGTTGCTGTTGAAGAAGTCAAGCGAGCTCTTGCTGCTTGTAACCATGCAATGAGATGTGCTGTATCGACAGCTTTGATGAACAATACTCCTGGTGAGACTGTGTTTCATCGTGACATGCTACTAAACATTCCTGTGATTGTCGATCTACTTTCTATGCAGCAAAAGAGACAGTATAAGATCAATGAAAACTTGAGGAGACAGAACGCGAAACGAAAAGAGTTTGATTACAGAATTGGTGGAGAAGTTTTGATCAAGAATACTGATGGAAGAAAGTTGGATCCGAAATACAGAGGTCCGTATCCTATTACAAATGTTTACACTAATGGTACAGTGGAAATTCAGCGCACAAATGCGATCCGTGAGAGGATCAACATCAGACGGCTTGTGCCATTCCGTCGAGTCTAATGGACGATATACTTGCATCGCCCATTGCGTCAAGAACCACCTCTGAAGTTGAATGGAGGATCAAGTGGATGTAAGGACGCCTTGTGACTTTAGTGTATGATCAATCGACTGGCTCTGATCATAGAAGGGAAGAGTGTAATGACCTTGGAGTGACCTTGGAACTAGATTAGACCCTTTGGAGGTACAGACATAGCTTTAGGCCTAACTCTCACGTCACTCCTTTCTGTGGCTTTCTGAGAGACTCTATAACTTTTGTTGTGACCCATTCCTATCTCTTCTTCTAGGCTGGTTCACTATTCGAATAGCCATAAGGCTTAGATTGAAGACTACAAGAGTATACTCTCTCTCACACAAGCAACTGCTGTTTGATTTGATCGAAAAACCTCGATCCTTTCAGATTTACAACAAGTTTTACACACCAGTACTTTTTCTACGATGGCTTCTACGCACATGCTCCGTCAAACCATCATTGTCAATGAGGGCGACTCTCCATTGGCATACAAGGCCAGGGAAGTCACTAATCCAGTGATGCAGTATGTCAGTTTCTTCGACAACAACTTTGAGCGCAAGCGAAAGGTTGAAGTTTGGAATGGTGCAAGTGGAAAGAATGTTGAACCACTCCTCAGGTCCATTCAATCCTTTCGCAACATCTCTTCAGAGTGGGGACTCAATCAGGGTCGACAAAAGAAGGCCTTGTTCAAGCAATTCCTCACTGCTGAACCACACATGACCTATCAGAGGATTTCTGAAGCTCATGGGAACTCAGTGTAATGACCTTGGAGTGACGTTGGAACTAGATTAGACCCTTTGGAGGTACAGACATAGCTTTAGGCCTAACTCTCACGTCACTCCTTTCTGTGGCTTTCTGAGAGACTCTATAACTTTTGTTGTGACCCATTCCTATCTCTTCTTCTAGGCTGGTTCACTATTCGAATAGCCATAAGGCTTAGATTGAAGACTACAAGAGTATACTCTCTCTCACACAAGCAACTGCTGTTTGATTTGATCGAAAAACCTCGATCCTTTCAGATTTACAACAAGTTTTACACACCAGTACTTTTTCTACGATGGCTTCTACGCACATGCTCCGTCAAACCATCATTGTCAATGAGGGCGACTCTCCATTGGCATACAAGGCCAGGGAAGTCACTAATCCAGTGATGCAGTATGTCAGTTTCTTCGACAACAACTTTGAGCGCAAGCGAAAGGTTGAAGTTTGGAATGGTGCAAGTGGAAAGAATGTTGAACCACTCCTCAGGTCCATTCAATCCTTTCGCAACATCTCTTCAGAGTGGGGACTCAATCAGGGTCGACAAAAGAAGGCCTTGTTCAAGCAATTCCTCACTGCTGAACCACACATGACCTATCAGAGGATTTCTGAAGCTCATGGGAACTCAGTGTAATGACCTTGGAGTGACGTTGGAACTAGATTAGACCCTTTGGAGGTACAGACATAGCTTTAGGCCTAACTCTCACGTCACTCCTTTCTGTGGCTTTCTGAGAGACTCTATAACTTTTGTTGTGACCCATTCCTATCTCTTCTTCTAGGCTGGTTCACTATTCGAATAGCCATAAGGCTTAGATTGAAGACTACAAGAGTATACTCTCTCTCACACAAGCAACTGCTGTTTGATTTGATCGAAAAACCTCGATCCTTTCAGATTTACAACAAGTTTTACACACCAGTACTTTTTCTACGATGGCTTCTACGCACATGCTCCGTCAAACCATCATTGTCAATGAGGGCGACTCTCCATTGGCATACAAGGCCAGGGAAGTCACTAATCCAGTGATGCAGTATGTCAGTTTCTTCGACAACAACTTTGAGCGCAAGCGAAAGGTTGAAGTTTGGAATGGTGCAAGTGGAAAGAATGTTGAACCACTCCTCAGGTCCATTCAATCCTTTCGCAACATCTCTTCAGAGTGGGGACTCAATCAGGGTCGACAAAAGAAGGCCTTGTTCAAGCAATTCCTCACTGCTGAACCACACATGACCTATCAGAGGATTTCTGAAGCTCATGGGAACTCAGTGTAATGACCTTGGAGTGACGTTGGAACTAGATTAGACCCTTTGGAGGTACAGACATAGCTTTAGGCCTAACTCTCACGTCACTCCTTTCTGTGGCTTTCTGAGAGACTCTATAACTTTTGTTGTGACCCATTCCTATCTCTTCTTCTAGGCTGGTTCACTATTCGAATAGCCATAAGGCTTAGATTGAAGACTACAAGAGTATACTCTCTCTCACACAAGCAACTGCTGTTTGATTTGATCGAAAAACCTCGATCCTTTCAGATTTACAACAAGTTTTACACACCAGTACCATCGGAAAAGAAAGTCTGGTCCTATTGGTCGGCTTGCTCATGTCACATTAGGACATGGCTCGGTCTGCTTATGTCACGTGGCCATGTGATTTTATCGCAGCCATTCGACTGGAACCTTTTCATATTTATTTTTGCCTCTGTGCTAATGTCACCTTCGCCGTGTGAAAAAATCACCTACTACTTGTCATTTTGGGACAGGGTCTAGCCACCATCAACCATGCACTGAAAGTCTCAATACCACCTTCACCCTGTCATTTTTGCATTGCCAGCATCATCTATTGTCACATGCCCAAAGTGTTAATGTGATCACTACAACAATTGAAATATCACAATGACTATATATTAATATCAACTAAACAATACTTGTTCTATCTACTTTTCAGGAATCCTCATATACTGTTACAATTTGTTGCCTTGCCTTCGTGCGCTTTTATTCAGAGCGTTTGTGGTTCAGTTAGTGTTGCCACTGCTCGGCCATTCTTTGACCAGTGCCTTCCATCTGTCCACATAGTTCTCCACCATCAAAAGTGCAAATGCTTCATCTGTGACATTGAAAGCATTGCTCAACCCACATTGACAGCTTGCATCACCACAGTATTTAGTGACAAAAGAAGCAGGTGAGATCAAGACTTTTGTCACACAACAGTAGCACAAAACATGAATACTCACCCTCTTTGTATTCAAGGTCCTCCTCACTGCTCGCCCTTGAATCATTGCCATATACCTTTTCCTGCTGTCTACGAGACTCCCCTTCATTTGTTGGCAAATAAACAAAAAATGCTGCTGTTTCTCCAATGTTCAACAATGACGTTCTGATACCAGTAGTAAAAAAAAATCACGGGTTGTTTGGGTGGAGGCTTTGCTAGTGTTGCAGTGTTTGAAGCTGCCTTCTTCTTGGTCTCACTGCCCTTCCCCTTGCTTGGTGCCTTCTTGCTCCTTGTCTTGTTTTCAAATACTCAAGTTTTTTTATTATGTGTGCGCTGTGAAATCTTTGCCCTGGCAAGGCTGGATTCAGTGGAAATGTACTTGGCACTAGTAGTAAATACATGTGGTTCAAAATGTTGAACTCCAAGACAAGCACCGACTGGGTCTGCTTTGGCATGTTCCGACATCCCGTCGCCACAATTTTTCAAGTCTTCAAAAGGCACCAAGAACCCGTGCCGCAAATATTTCAAAACTAAAATTTTTCTTTCCATTGTAGTGGGTTGTATTCAAGACACGGTAGGCAGAGTCGCGCCTCTTATTGAGTTAGCCCTCACCCTGATGGTGGGCAACCAGATCAAGATACGCTTGCCTTCCATTTTCTGTAGTCTTGTATCCCTTGATAACAGGCCAAGCATCAGTTCCATGGCAGACCAAATATAACATATTCCATACAGCTTTGTTATTAGCGACAAACTGGTCCTCTCGATGTAAGCTTCGGCGAATTGCCTCATCCTCCACAGATGGCATAAGGAAACCAGGATCAGCTGTCGGATTGTCGTCCGGATTTTGATGTTCACGGATTACATATGTTAACAAGGTGCCACCTTTTCCACGATTGCGTTTCAACCACTGTTCCAAGCTCTCCATCAGTTCGAACGTATTTTTATTGTCAAATTTGGGGCATAACCTCTGAAATATCTTCAAATTCGTTTGACTTGTGCTTGTGTCCCAAAAGCTGGATCATGTTGGTGATCCACCATATAAAAAAATTGGCAATAGTCGCAAAGGTCGTAGAGCATGATTTTCTGGGCTTGGTTGATTGAAAACGTAGTGTCAGGATCATTTCCTGGATCAATCACAGTGCGATTGATTTGTTTTACTAAGGAATCAATATTGTTGTGCGTCAAGCGGGCAAAGAAAGCAGGGGAACTGAAGCCCTGTTCAATAACAATCTCTTGTGCCTCATCCTGAGAGAAATCGAGAACATCTCAAATGTAGTTTCTCCATGCGATTCTTGCAGCAGCCATCCTTCAATGTCTTTCGTGTTGTTGTAAAAATAACACGGCACAAATTTCAATATTTTTGTTTTGCCAGTTGTTTTCAGTTTCTGATCGGAGTCGTATAATGCAATTTTGCACGACTACGTCAGTGTGAGATCTTATACTACAAATAAGTATATACAGAGTATCGAGCAAGATATCCTGGGTACGTCTACCTGTGTGGCAAATTACTCACAACCAAACGGTTTAAATGGTAACAAGTGGCCGTCTTCAGTCAACGCTTGAGACTGAAATGTAGCGACGTGAAAACCACGGATCCTTTGACAATGGGCAATCCAACCTTTGTCGGTCAACCACAAACTTTGGAGACCAGATATTATTTCAAAAAGCCTTCTCAAGCTTTAGCTCACAACAAAGATTTTCTTGGGTCTGATAAACCGTTAAAATGCACTGCTAGTCAGCCAAAACAGATCAATTACTGGACGAAATATGTACAAGGAAAACTTGTGACTACCAGATCCTTTCAGACTACAAAACTACACATACGGAGGACAGACCACGTACTTCCCAAAATAATGGCTGTTGCAAGAGAAACAGAGATGGCCCAAAACAAGATTCTCTATTCTGCAAAGCTCGGCGGGAACATGCGAAGATCAGCCTACTTCGAGACAAACAAGAGAACCGTCAAATCAAACATCATGCTGAAGTTTGTGACAAAGGCAATGGATATCAAGCTTCAAGGTGAAGCCAATTTCACGACTACTCTTGAAGATCCGATCGAACTCTTGAAACGTATTGAACGATTCATGAAGAAGAGTGCTGATGCTGAGTATGATTTCTTGGATTTCTGGGAAGCGATTCAAAAGTTATTTGCTATGAAGCAAGGAACAACAGAAAACTTGATGCATTTCAAGCAACAATTCTTGAGACAGGCTGAAGTCCTGCAAGATCTATATGGCGTGGCCTGGTTCCGAGATTTTGCAGTCAAGACGAAAGCGTATGCTGCTATTGCTAGCACCAATACTGCTGCTCAAAACAAGTTCAAGGATGATATCTTTGAAGCCGTTCTTGCAACAGGATTTCTGTGCAACTGGGATCAAACAAGAACAGCTCCTCTGATGCTGGATCTTCAGACGAACTATTGCAGAGAAGTGGATTATTATCCAAAGACGGTCAGCAAAGCACAAGATATGTTGAAAATTCACATGGAAGTGAGTAAAAATCCGGGAGTGAACCTCTACCAAGGAAAAGACCAACCTAATAAAGGTAAAGGAAAAGGGAAGGGGAAACCGAAGGATGGAAAGAAGGCAGCATGTTATGTATGTGGCAACAAAGACCATATGTCTCCAAAATGCCCAGACAGACTGCTACCAAAGACCCAATGGAAGAATCAGGATCAATATGTTGACTATGGGAAGAAGCTCAATCTTAATCAGATTGGAGCAACTGTCCCAGCTACTGTTCCAGCTATAGTTCCTGGAGCTTCAGCGTCCACAAGTGGAGCATCAAGTGTTGCGGGAAGCGTTAACACACCTTTGCAACTTGCTGGTACTACAGGTAATCAAATGATGCAAGTTCCTTCTGGAATGCAGCTCATGCAGATTCCAACTCAAGGTGGCGGCACTGTTACTGTCCCTTATTCTATGAATGCTAACGGTGAGATTGCGTTCAGTGGAATGCAACTCAGCCGACAAGGCTTCAGTAGAGCTCAAGTGCGCCA